TTGTAAGTATAGCTGATAATCTAGTATAAGATAAACAACCAATAGTAGATAAATAGATTAAGATTTGTTATAGATTTTAAAATGAATTACAGTTCTCATTCTTATAGTTTATCATCGTTTGAATGAACTTAGAACAATCAATTGTTAGTCATCTTTTCATTCTTTTGCATTTGGATCATTGCGATATGTTTCACATGCTTCGCAATCATTGAGAATAAACCATGATGAGATGCGAGATTTCAATTATCTCATATTATGAATTTGTTCTGTAAATGAATTCTTGGCAAGAATTTCTAGTTTTCGTCATTACAATACTCAACGATAGAGTATTATTATGCTCAGATGATGTTTTAAATGTTATATTAATTAATTCCATTTTGATTCATGTTAAATTATGCATCTTATCGTCTAGAATGTATACAATACGAAATAGGCTTACAATCATAAAATTTCTTGTTTGTTTGAAAAACTGACTTTCAATACTTACATATAATTAGATGGAAAAGTTTTGTTCTTATTCAATGATCAATGTCGATATCTATTCGAACTTTTCGAAAATTTTTATCTCCTGTCAATAAAAAGACTATAACTTGATCTCAGTTGATTGTAACTGACATTAATTACTAGTTACAGTACTATCATGCTCATTGATATGATTACCTTAAAGTTCGATTTCATGGTTTAGGACATCAATTGTCTTCGATAGGCATGTTGGATTTGTTCTAGTTGCCTATACAAATCACATATGAAAAAATCGAAAAGTAAAACAGAATCCATTTTGTCAAACCGAAAAGTTCTGTTTTGCATTCGCAATACAAATGAATCTTGTTAATGCCAATGCACTACATATTTCTCGTTATATTCATGTTTGATTTGACGTAGTTACGGTAATAATGTATCATTTGTCCTGTTGGCGTAAACTCTGCCACAAATATCCACGAAGTTTTGATATGAATCAACTCCAGTTGGTAGTTACTTCTATATAGGGAACGAACATGTTTATTCTAACGGACAAAATGGTACTCAATAGCTCTTATCCAAATATTAGGGAACGTGCTCTAGTAAATACTATTTACTATAAAAATGGGGAAAAAACCTAAGAAAGTAATAAATGAGAATATCAGTTTGAGCACATTATAGGAAGAATAAAAAGAGATGTTATTAACTTGATCAGAACCAAATACTGTTCGACGGTCGTTGGTCTTAAGACTAACATCATTAAATTGTTATGTAGTGACCGTCACAGAGATCGATATTCAATGCACCTGACGGATTGAATTGCTTTTTTCCTTTAGCTTTAAAAGATAATCATCAACTTTGCACAAGAAGCATCACAAGCTCGGATGGAATGGTCGGACGAGTCCATTGAGAGGAAATTGCTATGTGCACCTAGCGGCGAGTAAAGATAAGAAAAACATAAACAGTTCACATCAAGCTTCATATGTTCTTAAGCTCCATTCTTTTTTCCAAAAATTAAACATATTAGACAAGACTTGCGAGAAGACAGTTTACGTTCTTCTGGATCTTTCGCATAAATATCTATCATGGTAAACTAGTACGTAGAGTATGGGTTTGTGATTGCTCGATATTTCACTTTCAATTGTTTGATTAGTTATATCGACATCGACGACTAGAGTGTTGTCGATAGTGCACTCTGAATAAATAGATATACATGAGTCGAGAACGAGTGGTCCGAAAGAGCATGAGTTGATCCATTTGAGAAAATATTGTCTGCTTTCTCGCCATCTCTATCCAAATCAATATGAAAGTCTTCCAACATAACATAACGATTTGTACTAAATTGAGACAAAATGTCGGGATAGAATGTGTAACTGTGGATGTTAACGAAGAGAAGATCAACACGCAAATGTATGCCACACTCACATTCACACCCTTTTAATCCTGATCAATTCAACTAAGGTTGAGCGCTCTTTGTCTGCTGCTGATTTTGCAGTTATAAAACATCGTTTCTCTCTTGATTTTAATACTGTGAGCGACATTTTTGTCTGTCAAATTCATTGAAAATGTTCTTGAACCAAGACCAGATTTTATTTTTCTACGCACTACCACTGTCTGATTCATAAATGTTTAATCAACAGGAAAATCTTCTATTGTAAATGCCTGCATAATGGGAATACCTCGTTATAATGAACTGTGAACTCTTGGATTTTGACTTCTACCAACTAGAACAATCTTTCTATAATGAACATGTTTTTTGTTTTACTCCTATTCTTACATGTTCTCGTACATATGTAACAATAAAACACTCCTCTCTAGTGAATACTTTTGAGTATTCTCTTAGATGTTCACATAGGACGGTTTTTATTGTAATCATATAAATTTATTTAAGTGACTTGTTGAATTTTCCATGAAGATTAATACTTAATTCTATTCTATTATTATGATGATAATGCCATAGAAAAAAGTAGACAGATCATAAGAGCTAAGTAGGCGAAGTAGAAGAATTTAGATGACAGACACAAGCAGGTCTGCCTACAAGAAGTCAGCTTGTTCGGCCCTCCGACATTTAATTCCTATGAAAGGTGTTTCTGTGCTTCCACGGTTAGTATTGCACTTCATATCAAATATTCTTTCAAAATTATGTTTCATAACAATCTATATTTGTGTAACAAAAATTATCTATCTGAGCAGCTACAGCAGCAAGAGCCTTTAACAGTATTGAAACTTTTTTCAGCCGATTCGTTTTTTACAAAGCATTGTTTGAACTCTCAGTAAGAAGACATCTAATTTCTTTGCTGAATTCTGCAAAAATGAACTACATCTGATCGTAGAGTTCAATCTTTAGAATGTTTGCGTTGAGAATAAGCTGCTCAATGAACAAAATGTCACTTTTTTCAAAATATGGTGTACTCTTTCATAAAAAAAATGCATATAAAAAATATCACTTAGTACATAGTAGAACAGTCTTTCGAACGCTTTCTAATAACAGATTCTGTTTTGAAAATTGGATATTCCTGTCGACCAAATCAAAAGATTACTAAAACATTGTGTGTAAAATAGATGCTATTCACTGAATCGCATAATATCCCATAAAAGATTTTTTCCTTCTATTATTTCAATTTAAAATAGATAGTAGTTGGTAAACAATCGAACTATGTTTCCTGTAAAAGTGAAGTTTGGTTTATGTATCATTTTTCTGTTCAAATATTTTCAAAAGAAAAAAATGTTACACAAATTTTACTACAAGAGATACTCTTAACAGATCATGAGAGTCTTCGTATTGATGAACTTATGTAGAATGTCGACAGAAAAGGGTGAGATTATTCGATTGGTACGCTCCAAAGTTATGGGCCACCCATGCTGTTCATCCAAAAGGCTTTTTGGCGACGATTGCCCAATTTTTTAGATGCGGTGCACATTTCTAGTATACTCTGTTTTTTCTATTGAAGATTATGTTAATTTTAGACACTTTTTAGTTAATGAGCACCCATGAACAAGTTCATTATATTTATTTTCTCTTCATTAGATCTAATTAATACTAATGATTTATAATCTTGACGTTATGTTGAGAGGGAAAAGCAAATCAATGTTCATATTACTAGTACATACCCAACAACATAAACATTATTCATTTGAATTATTTTGATGAATATAACAATGTTGATCTGTAATAGATATTTTATTCTTGATCTGTGTATGTTTTTAGGTGTCCTTAATAGTTATCATATATTATCATGGTTACTTGGTGATTCTTGTTTTCTATGGAAATACTATTTGGACATTTATACAAAACAAAAAATTGCGTCGATTACTATTGAATACTCGTTTCATGGCTTTTATAATCATTTATCTTCCAGTAATCTTTTCCATTGAAGTGGTAGTAGCATGTTTATTAGTAAAAATATCTTTTTTTTTGTAATTTGAGATATATATTTTCACGATGGTAATGAATAGGAAATGGTAGTTGTACCATTGAAATATTAAATATCTTTTTACTACATGTTCAAATCTTTATGTATTTATATGAATTTCAATTTTACTAACTAAATATCTTGATGCATAAAAGGATTTACAATTAAAAGAACTTGTATTACTATTCATATTAGTTATATTCTCATTGTATTTTGAATTATTTTACGTCTATCAAGTTTGTCTTATTATGATTTTGAAATAGAATCAAAAATTTTGATTGAAAATTTGAAACAAATACTTTTCTTCAATCAGTAAAAAAAAAGTTTCATAATCAATTAAATAATAATAAAAATCATTCATGATTACAAGTTATCTTCTAACAATATTATTTGAAATTTTCTTTATACCATTGTTAATAATGAGTCGTTTATAAGAGTAAAACAATACTAAAAACTCCAGAAATATAGAAATTCATTTCAAAAAATTGAAATCTTGTTTTTATCAACTCATTTTTTCTTGTAATCGATTATCATGTACGCAATAATGATATTTTAAAGCGGCTTTATTAACATAGATTTAATTTTTTTGATGTTAACACCAGTATTATCTTCGATTAGAAAAACAAGTCTTGTATGAAATTTGTTTATCTATGTGATAGATAATCATAATTTACATACATATAGGTTTAAATAGTTCATCGAAAATGGTTCTGTCAAATCAATTTGTTGTTACTATTGTTTAGTTTTATATAGAATGATTCTAAAGTAAACATTCTACTACATTATCATATTATCAATCAATTCTGTACCGAATACGTCAATTTATCCTGAGGCTATAAATTGTTTTTTGTTTGTTTTTTTTATTAAAAATCATTTTACAAAATGAAAAATATGAGTTTCTAAGAAAATTATTTAAATAAGCATTAATAATAATAATCACTTGATTCAAGGTAAAAATAAACAAATAAAAACAAAAATAAGAGAAAATCATACAGATTTCTCATGACCCATAATGTAACGATTTAATTATAGTTTTTTTTTTTCTTTGACTATATGAAGTCTTGTGAGAATCAGGCGATTTTTCATGAGCAGAACTGCCATAGCATGTTCTGCTCTTATCAGGTACTTTCATGAACTAGAAAAAATAAAATAAAATAAATCAAATAGAGAAGGATAATTATATAGTGCGAATTGAAAAAAAACGAATATCGAGTTCGATCTCGTTTGTGTGCGTGTGTGTTTGTGTATGAGTGATAAATATTGATATTTGTATATATGTAAATGTGTGTATACGAAACAAAAACAAATAATTTGTCCATAAGGTACAAATATGTGTTATACGTGTATACCAATTTAGTTAGTGACTTATATCATCATGTGCAATTTAGTGCATGACCAAAGGTCGGTGTTTTCTGACTGGTTGTAATGGGTCAAGCCCAATACTTGAATAAACATACGTGTCATGTGTTTTTATAGCTCCTGTATGAATTTTTTCAAATAAACGATTTAATTTTCGATTTAAATCTTCAATTTCTTTTTTTCGTGGATCAATTTCTTCTTGTTCTTTATGTAATAAACGTTTTGGTTTAAGTATACATCGATCAATTATTTGTATAATATCAAAACGATGTATATATCGAAGTGCTTGAATTAAATCTTCAAGTTTTGCACGTGTATGAAAACGTCGCCATTTATTTAATACATCTGTTGCTTGATCCTAAATACAAAAATCAAAAGAAAAATAAATTAATAATAGATATCTAGAAAATAAATTAATTCAAATTGATATTAACTCGATAGACATCACCACGATGATATTTATCATCAATATAATTAATATCTTTTGATACTTCTTCTTTACCACGTAACGGATAAAATGGTAATTGCCAATAAAGTCGACTCCAATCACGTCCTATATATTTTGATGTAAGACGCATTGCTTTTGAAAGATCATCTGGTAGAAAAAAAAATTATTTTTATCATTAATTAAATTAATTTATAGATAAAAATTATCTTTAGTTTTGTTAATAATAAAAACAAAAAATATTAGCTACAATCTAATGCTCGAGTTAAGGTTGCACAGTATGTATTTTTCGCATGACAAACGAACATGTAACTTTCTTTCTTGAAAATGATTTTGTTCTTACTCAGAAATAGCTATATATAACTTAGATAAATTACTTTTAAGAAAATAAAGAAGTTTTATGATGAAATACATCTAAAAAGAATTCTTGACCACATTTTTTTAAGAAAATTTTTTGATTAGAAAATGTCTTGTGTCATATATCATCTGATGTAGTGTTTGAAAAATCTGCTGTATCGTTCAGGAGTGTTTATGCTAACTGTTGTGATATACGAGATAGAATAGAATGTTCTAACATAGTTTGAGCAGATTTGGATTGATACACGTTCGTTTTGCTGAGTTTAATCATTCCAAAAATTAGTTTATAGAAAAATTTTATTTTATTTTTCTCAGAAACCATACATTTAAATTAACAGATTTCTTCAATAATCGATATTAGACGATATACAGATTCAGAATATCTACTGGATGTATCTACTAGATGGTTTAGTTTTTATCAAAAATTGATTTTCTTATTGATATTAGTGTTTCTAGGCTAATTTTTAAATTTCAGTTGTTCTACTCTACTTAAAATTTGTAAAAAAATTTTTTACGTCATTAGATAGAACATATCTCAAAGTTATATTTATCATTATTTGAATCGATGAAAGGATGATTTTCGTTCTTCAATCTAATAACCGTCTCGATGCATATTGTGAAATGGAAGGAGAGAAGCTGTGCTTCCTCTTCCTTCTAGGCTTAGAAAAATCTGTTGTTAATATTAACTGTCCCAGTTTATGTATCAAAACTGAAATTTAAGGATTTATAATGAAGTTATATTGTGATTTACACTTACCATTATAATCTTCACCGGAATTTTTTGATTTAACAGGTAAAGCATAAAAAATTTTTTGTGGTAAATCATCAGTTGCACGACATTTATATATATTTCGTATAACTTGACGACAATTTGTCACACGATCAAATTCATTTTCTTTAAGAATTTTATCTTCTAATGCTAATTGTACATCATGATTAAGTTTTCTATATTCAGTACGCATTGTTAATAATTCTTGTTTACGTTGTTTTAAAAATTCAATACGTCCTTGTAGAGCATCCATTTGTGATTTTAATTTTGGTAATTCTTTTAAAAATTGTTTTACTTCTTGTTGAAATCTTTCAATTGATAAATGATTATCAATATCATCATTTTTATCTTCAGCAGCTTTAAGCATTTTTTTAAGTTGATCTTCATATACTTCGAATGTTAAGCGTTTAGATAAATAATCACGTTCTTTTGTATTTAGACGTTCTTCAAGTTCTTCAAGTTTTTTTTCATTTATTTCATTTTCTTGTTCAGCTTTATTTAATTGTATTCGAAATGAATCAGCCTATTGAATAAAAAAAAAAAAAATTTTTTTTTTTTTTGTTAAATCGATTAGTTTCTTTTGAAATACTCGATGCTCAGCTTGACTAAGATGTGCTTTACCCAATTCAAATATTTTTTTTGCTTCAATATATTTTTCATCAAGTACTTTCAAGGACCTAAAAAAAACACAAAGGAATGTTTTATTTCGTTCAATTACTGAATGTTTACGTTTGAATAAATGATGTATATTTTGTATCTTCAATTAACCAAGTTTGCAGAGCAATTATAGCTCGACGAGCTTCAGTATAACATTCAGGTAATGCAAATATATATGAAAGTGATGTACAATCACAACGAACAGCTAATTCTTGACATTCTTGTGATAATGATGATAGAACAATACCTTTTGTATCTTCTACACGTTGTTGCATTTCACGTACTAATTTTAAAGATTTATTCACTTGAAATAGATGTAACCAACGAGCTTTTTCATATGAATAGGCTGTTTCAATATATTCATCCTATGAAAATAATATTAACATGTAATAAATGAGATGTTAAAAAAAACAAATCAACATGCAATAATAAATTATTATTATTATTATTATATCTGAACATTTCTAGAGGCAAAAAAAAAAAGAAAGAATAAGAATATTCATGCACATGCAAAATATACTTTGATTCTTCGACTATAATATTTCCATAGAAGATCCTAAAAATTCTTTTAATTTAAATAAATATTATTTTTTTGTATATTATTATAAAAACATTAGAAATCTCATTAAAAATTCAGTAAGATGTCGTTTGAACTTTTTGAATAAAAAAACAAAAAAAGTCAAGATTGATTTACCGATTCAGCATCGTTTCTATGCATGAAATTCATGTCGTAGAAGAGAAATTTTTATATGAAAACTAAACATCAAAAATATTATTTGTGGCAAAGATCTGTTTATTTTTGGTTTCTAAATAGTAACTGTTTTTATATATTACGATTGAGTTTGCCTATTTTTTTTCTTTCATATTAAGATATTGATCTATTAGTTAGAGATCAAAATAATCAAGAAAATTATCATCAAATTGAAACAAGAAGTTCATTTTTCTATAGTCTACTATCAAAATGTGAATTCAATATTAATAAAATAGTAAGAGTTGTTCATATTTCAGCATGCTCCATTCTATGATTGGTTGTTGCTAAAAGTATTATGATGTTCGTATAATTGCATGATTAAGGTTTCTCTCAAAATTCATAAAGGTGCTACTTTTTTGCATATGAAAATTTATTACTTCATGTTTTTACCTTTCTTATAATGACAAGCGACTCAAACAAAAAATATATATATATATATATAATCCTTCACGTCTTCTATGTGAATCATATCCGATCCAGGGAATTTTATAGCTTATCAATGTAAATGCAGATTGAAATTCAAAAGTATATCTATCTATCTAT